CTTAAGTGCTAGAATTATAGGCATAAGTCACCACCATGCCTTGTTTAATAAAATATTTTTATGTTAAAAGTATATCTATTTCTGTTTTATTGAGAGAAATCCCAGGATTAAAGAGCAGATTTGATAATTTTTTATTTATTCAGCATTGCTGGAAATTGAACCAAAGACTTGCGTATGTTGGGACACGTTTCCACACTGAGTCTTCAGATTGACTTTTGTATCTATGGGATTAATTACATGGTGTTATACATTCCATCCATTATTCTGAGGTTTGTTAAGATTTCCTGATAAATTTCCAAACCTGGTGGTTATGTCTGCACTTGTAGCTGCTAAAGAGCCTGAAGGATTCCAAGTTCAAAATCTGCCTAGTGCTGCCCAGGCTATTGAATGGATTCAAGGTCAGCCTGGGCAATTAAAACAATAAAATGAGGGCTGAGGATGTTATTCAATGGTAAAACACTTGGTATGAATGCAACCCTAGATTTAACCCACAGCACTGGGGGGCAGGGAGCAAGGGAGTGGGTTTTCTTTGATAATTCGGTGATACCAACTGGAGGAAGTCCCTCTGAGAATTATGTCTGAAATAGTAATCTATTATAGTTAAGTTTTGTCTCTTGTGGTGTTTTTAAGATTTATTGTTTTTTAAATTTATGCATTTTTGACGTTCTGAATTTTTTATGTAGAGTTTAGCACAAAATTTCTTGTAATTTTCTGTGATAATTTTCAATTCTCTGTATCTGTGGTTATTTTCCTAACAACCCTTTTAATTTTTGTGAGTTTATGTGTTTTACTCTTCATAAGATTATGGTGTGATTGTGGTGACTTGACTGAGAATGACCTCCACAGATTCAGGTCTGAGTACTTGGTCTCCAGCGGGTGGCAGTGTTTGGGAAGGGTTAGGAGGTGTGGCCTTTTTAGGAGAGGTGTGACACTGGGGGTGGGCTAAGAGGTTGAAAAGATTTGTGCCATTCCCAGCATCTCCTTTTGCCCCATGCTTGCGGGTGAGGATGTGAGGGGTCAGGGACTGTTCCAGGGCCTGCTGCCGTGCTCCCTGTCATGTGACCATGGACTCACCTTCCAGAGTTTAATAAACCCTTCTACAATTTGCCTTGGCGTTGGTGGCACATGCCCTTAATCCCAGCACTCAGGAGGCAGAGGCAGGCAGATCTCTGTGAGTTCGAGACTAGCCTGGTCTACAGAGCGAGTTCCAGGAAAGGCTCCAAAGCCAGAGAAACCCTGTCTCAAAAAAACCAAAAAAAAAAAAAATAGAATTTGCCTTGGTCATGGTATCTTATCAAAGCAATAGAAAAGTAATAAAGACAATAATTTAATCTTATTAAAGGCTTAACTTTTATATTTCTTTGTTAGTTGTGTTTTTCTGCATCTTTATATTTATCTTCATGATTCTGTCTTTCTGTGTGCTTAAAATTTGTTTTGTATTCTCTGATTTCTTGAAGAGGTTTTATTCATTTCTTGTTTATTTGGAGCTATGACTTTTTCTGGGTATAGTTTTCATTGAATCCCATGAGTACTAACTTGTCATGTTTACATTGTAGTTATTTTCCTGTGAGTCTATCAGTGGAGAGGTACTTTTCTCTTAAACTCTTACATGGTGGCTTTACCCTGAAGACGATGAGATAAGGGTTTGCTCACTGCTTCTGAAAGATGTCTTAGACTAGGTAGTTTATCAATAGGAGAATCTATGACTCTGGCTTCTGAAGAGTGGGACATTTGAGGCTGAGGCTGGAGCGCCTGAGAAAAGCTGCCATCATCCACAGTGTGTGGCTACTGGACTCTCACATGGAAAGCTGGCAAGAGGAGCAAAAAGGCTCCTTTTAACCCTTTCATGAAAATGCTAATCCCATTCCTCCCCAGGAATGGGATCGAGCCCTTTGATCTAATCACCTCCCCTACTTCTTGCTACTATTAAGAGTTAGACATTTGTAGAGACAAAGCATTTAAGCTCAGTTGTAATCAGGAGAGCGATGTCATAATTATTAGTTAGATATTCCACCCTGGTTCAGGTACAGAATCTACACATTCAAGCCCAAGGAACCAGTTGAAATGCAATAATTACATATCAAGTAGAAGATAATCATTCCGTGAACTGAAGTCAACAGTAAAGGTTAAGGAAATGGGATGTTCTGCTGGAGACTGCATTAATTAAACTTAACTAGAAGTGGAGTAAGGGGACCATCAAATTGCTGAATAAGCAAACAGCTTAGGCTTTGATGACACCCACTGAAATAAAAAGCGTTAGAGGGACATTACAATTGGCAGGAGACTGTTTCCTTGTCATGTATACCCCCACCCTCTCTATATGCATGATCACACCGAACACACATCTACAGTGCAGGAAAGGTCACAGAAGTGTAGCCACAGACTGTAAGCAAGCTTGGCTCCATCGTCTGAACGGTCCACAGTCAGTGAAGTAAAGCTGATGTATAGAGGAGCCGATTTGCAAGCTCATAAACAATGCCTTCTCTCTGCTTCCTCACAGGGAACAGGATGAAAAAGCTCAGAGAGCCACGACCCTTAGTGACACCACTGAAGAGAACATTTAGGAACTTCTATTAGTGAGTGAACAAGAATGCGTCTGTTTATTTTTAAATGAATGATTTAAATAATTATAGGTGTGACAGCTAAATGCAGTTATTTAAATTGATTGAATGTTTTGAAAAACTTCCTGAGATTTAAAACGCTAACAAAATTTTTATGATATATTTAGGCAAGACACACCAGTTCATTCCCACTATCATTCCTTTCCCCATTTGAAGTAATAGAACAGTATGTGGTCTACATCATCTGAGAGGTTTTAAAAGAAGCAAAATGTAATATGCCAAACACTCGATGTGCTGCTGGCATTTAATAAATGTCAAAAGAGAAGGAGAACATTTGTCACTGAAAGTGTAATTTGGATTTCAACCTTTTTAGAGGATTGCTTTTTTTCCCAAGATGTATTCACAAAAGTTCAAGATCCCGTTTTAAAAGGCTGGATGAAGAAAAAAAAAACACAATTGTTCTACAAAAGGATGGACCAGTATTAGTATATCATGAGTCTTTACGACCTACAAAGTACTATGCTGGCTTAGGCAGACAAAAGTGGAGGCAATTTCCATCCGTCGATCTCACCGTTAAGAGGCTCATGGTTCATTAGAGGAAGACAAAAGACTTAAGAAGAAATGTCCTTAATATGGAGAGATGTGGTGGTTAATTTCAATAGTCAAATTGAAGTCTGGAATCATTTGGGAGACTTGTCTCTGGGAGAGCCTATGGGGGATTATCCCAATTTAGAGAAACTTCTGACAGATATGTAAAGATATTTCTTGGGAGGATTAACTGCTTTGGGGAGGGGAGGTGTTTGGTACCCTTTGCTGGTGACCCAGATGTAAGGGGAGAAGCTGTTGTTTTCAGCCTGCCTTTGCCGTACCTTCTTGTTGCTGCTGTTTCTGGAATTCAGCTTCTTTGACCTTCTGATGTGGACTGGAGACCAGTGGCATTCCAGAACCCTCCAGGCCTTCAGCAACATCACTGTTGAGGTATCTAGTCTCATGGACTGAGCAGCTAGCTACCAAGTTCTCAGACTTTCCAGTGTGTAGAGTCATGATGGACTACACAGTGTATCATGCAAGCCAGTGCAGTAGGTCTTCTTTTAATATATATTCATATTATTGATTTTTCCCCTAGAGAACCCTACACTATTCTATTAGAAACCTGCGTTATAAAAGTTTGTATCACCATTTCCGTTGGTCTGTCTTAGTCCTACAACATAACTACATATGGCAACCACATAGGTCCTAGGTCCTAGGGGAGAGCTGAAAAATACTGAATCAGCTATTTGGAACCTACCCTACAGATGATGATTTAGCCCATATGGGTTACATCCAGACATGACATTTGTCAGATCTTCCCTGTGAATTCTAATATGAGAAAACCTGAGAACATTGTCTTACTGGAGCATGTAAGACTCCAGCTGATAACAATTATTGTCTTTGGTGGGGCCTTTTGTCTGTCTCTTTAGACTTTTCACATGTCAGAACAAATAAACAACAACTACTGATAAGCTAGATAATGCTACAGAAAATTTCTCAACACTAACCCCACATACTGCTTTAGGGACTGCTGGAGTCATGTGCAAATCACAAGTGTTAGGAAAAGGAATTTGACCCAGAGTAACCTTCTGTCCTCTGGGATTTTTTTAAACATTATTCTACAGTAAATGACTTTGTCAGAGTTTTAAAGAAAGACTCCCAAAGCAAGAGTTAAAGCAACATGACAGTATTTCCTCTAAAATCATTATAGGAGGTTAAGGTAGTCATTTTTAATTTAATGTCTAGAACTTAGGGCAAAACATTGATGAATTTTTGAATCATTATAATTTATATTTTTCCTCAAAACACTAAAATGTACTGGTTCTAGAGATGTACTAGGAATGTCTATGCTTTGGAACAGTCTTACTCTTTGTAATAAAGATGAAAGGGAGAAAGGAGTGCCTAGTCAGGGTTTAACTCTGGAATCTGGAGAGCCAGAAGCAGGATGTGGGATGCTAATCAGATTTCATGGTTTTAAGGCTCCCAGGAACTACAAATTCCCCTCATGTACAAAACAACCAGACCAGCTGCTGATTTCTGTTAGCATGCTAGACAATACACATGCTGACCAAGACAGTGATTTTTTTATTGCACTGAATATATTAATCCTTCAGTATATCATTGGTACCAATTCTTGTAAAGAGAAGCTTTTTCCTTGAGAGAAGCCTTCCTGCCAGCCTGGTTCTAGAGCCGCATGAGTCCCAAATAAACACACAGGAGACTATATTAATTATGAAGCTGTTGGCCTTGCTTGTTTCTTACTGGCTAGCTCTGACTTAAGTAATTACCCCATAATTGTTAATCTAAGTATTTCTCTTACCGGAGAACAGTTCCGGGCTTCCTACCCCATGGCGTTACATGTTGACTCTCTTGTGTTTCTCCTTCCCAGAGTCCTCCTGGACTCCTAGTCCCACCTATCTTGGTTCCCTATAGGCCAGCAGCGCTTTATTGACAAATGCACAGGACTTCCCCCAACAAATTCTGAATCCTACTCAGTGTCAACCTCTTTGACCAGACACAGAAAAGTCCTGCTGGCCTTGATGTGAGAGTCTGTGCCTGTGACTTTCTCTTAAAACAATCATCTTGGGAGAGACCAAGTTCCCCCCTAATTCTGTGATATAGGAAGATTGGTGTGGAAGGAGAGAAGGAGCCAGAGAAAGAAGACTGCAAGTCCTTCCTTACTGAGCTCCTTCTAATGAACTGGATTCTCTCAAGAAAAGCCCCACTGTACAAACTTCAGAGAGAGGGTTGTGGTGTGTAAATGCCCTATCAAGGGACAGGTGCTATGAGGGCCAGAGCTTTGGGGCTCTTTCCTCAGCTCACTAACTCAGGACACCATTCCCATTCTTGGAGATACCTTTTTTCTTGATCAGCTGTCTGTGGCTCCATGTTTATCCTTGGGTCCCTGGTACAGTCCTTTGCTCTTGGACACAAGTGCCTAGAATCTTGTCCTCTATGAGCTTGGATCTGCAGCTCAGCACTCCTAGCATTTCTCTGACTCTGCTTCTCCGACCTCCACACTTCACTTAAAAGGCATGGTGTGGAGGTCGGAGAAGCAGAGTCAGGGAAATGCCTTCCATACCCCCTTCTCCTGGCAGCTATCAAGGTTTTCAGCTTTCCCATCCTGTTGTTTTTCTTTTAATGCAAGCATTCACAAGTTTTCTTCCAAGTTTGTTTGTGAATTTTTTTATCCGTGCAGCTAAGAATCAAAAGGAAAACTCAGTTTCCCTGTTAACATTAGTGCTCACAGCGAGCTCACGTGCTTACACTAGAGCATTGCTCCATGTCTTGATGGTTGCTTGGTTACTCTAAGCTTCTGTCTTCACCAATGCCAGAAACACACATGTAGATCTCTGCTGGTCAATACTCAAATTTAAATCCCAATTCTTTCTCATGGAACACAGCCAGGAAAAATGAATAAGTCTCCAAGAAGTGATGTGTGACTTTCTACTGATCAAGGAAAAGACAAAGAGAGGGAGAAACAAAGAAAGAAAAGTTCGGGGAAGTCCAGCTTCAGGAGAAGCCCAGAAAGTGTCCTAAACAAGGGAAAGCTTTGTTGCAGAGATAGATTGAAACCCCTGTCTTTTCCATTGATAGGAGCTTCCGGTTGACCATTAGTGCTTCTATTACAAAAGAGTAGTTTCAGAGCTACTCCGTATCTTTGAATTCTCATATCTATCTGTTCAAAACAACCTTTATGCCAAAGAAGCACATTTGTGATTGGCATAGTCTGTCTTTTGCAAAAGTTGAGTACTTGTTCTCAGAGAGTTGGGAGCCCTATGTGCTGATATTCCCTGGTGATGCCTGCTTGTCTTTGTGGAGACACACATAGTCTGCCCATCCCCTCACACCCCCCTCCCCCACCGAATAGACATAAAGCTTACTTGAACTGAAAGTACCTGACTTAATAGAAAAGGATTGGAGCATGGTAGCACACATCTTTAATTCCAGACCCCAATTAAATGCTTTACACACACACACACACACACACACACTCTCTCTCTCTCTCTCTCTCTCTCTCTCTCTCTCTCTCTCTCTCTCAGTGATAAAACAGCAGGACAGTAGGGGCTGTCACTGTCTCTATGGGTTTGGGTTTCCCACTATGTAGTACTGGCTGTCCTGGAATTCATTATGTAGGCCAGGCTGGCCTCAAAGTCACATAGATCCAACTACCTCTACATCCTGAGTGTGGGATTATTTATTTATTTATTTATTTATTTATTTATTTATTTATGTTTATGAGTGTTTTGTTGGCATGGATACATGTGCACTGTGTGAATACAGAGACCAGAAGAGAGCATCAGATCTCCTGAAACTGGAGTTATGGGTAGTTATGAGTTACCATGTGGGTGCTGGGAACTGATCTCTGATCACCTTCAAGAGCCACAAGTGTTCTTAATTGGTGAACCAACTCTGCAGCCCCTGGGTACCTTTTCTACTGTCAGGGATAAGCCGTTTATCAGTCTGCGCTGTGTGAGTGGTGCCAGTCATCCTGAGTTGTAGGTACAATGGCTATCTCTGAGTAGCCCTTGCAATTTGGCCCACAGTCTTCTATCATCGTATTGAATAAGCAAAAGCATCTTAATGATGTGCGGAACCTTGTGACCAGTGACCAGATCTGTTTGTTATCCATGCCCTTGATATGAGATTGAAGTAGAGGAGGTACACTCTGGCTTGAATAAAGTCTCTTTTATTCTAACATTGTATGAATCCCCTTTCCTTGACAATAGTGGCAATCTACTTATCTTGCTGCAGCCATGAATTATGCTTATCTCAGTAAGTCCCCAAAACATCCATTTGTAAAGAAGCAGTACTGTCTATATTTGTACTTAATGTGATCTTTGTAGGATTCCCAAAATGCTTTTCTATAGAATGTGCAGATAGCTATCAGAATGAACAATTCCTAGACATCAACTATATGTCCACATACTTTCAATGAACAAAGAGAATTTGAAATTTACAATAGCATAAAAATATACCATGGCATTCAATTGTCTGCATTTTTTGTAATCATTGGTATTATCATCAAGTAATGATTTTTCTATAATCAGTATAATGCACATCCACTTCTTTGAAACAAAATGATGTTGGCAGTCTTTTTTGAAGATGTATGATTTTACAGCTAGGCAGGACTCACAGGGGGTCACAGAGACTGATGTGACAAACATAGACTCTATGGGTCTGCACTAGGACCTCTGTATGTGTGTTATAACTGTGTATCATGGTGTTCTGGTGGGTCTCCCAACAGTGGGGGTGGGGTTGTCTCTGACTTTTTTCTGCACTTGGGACCCTTTTCCTCCTACTGGGTTGATATTAGGGTTGTGTACAATCTGATTTCATCTTGCTGTGCCATGCTCTGTTGATATTCTTGGGATGCCTGATTTTGTTCTTTGAAGGGAAATAGAAGAGAAGTGGATCTGGGGGACAGGGGATCTGGGGGAAAGGACCGAGAAGAGTAGATGAAGGGATAGCTGTTGGGATGAAATAATGCGTAAGAGAATAATAAAATGATTTATGATTTTAAACATTCATTTTGAATTCTCTCTTTCTTTCTGAGTGTGTGTGTGTTCAAGTAAGATGGCACTGGAGTTACAGATGGTTGTGAGCTGCCCAACATGGGTATTGAGAACTGAATTCAGGTCCTAGGGAAGAGCAGTACATGCTCTTAGTCGTTGATCCCATTTTTTGATGGTTTCCTATGCCATATTTCTTCTTGTAGGTACTGTCTAAATCATTTGTCCATCTGGAAAAATTAGTTATTTTCTCATTGTTGGGTTTTCAGTATTTTTGTTGTTTCTTTTTTTTACAACATGGGGTTTTTACAGGTTTGTGATTCTATTTGGGTAAATTTGACAAAAAATATAAAACCTGTATCCTAAGAACTACAAAATGGTCTCAGAAATTGAAGATACATAACAGATGACCTCCATATGTTCTATGGTCACAGACCATCAGCCTCAGCATTGCATAGATATTAATTCTCTCTACAAAGATCTATAGGTTCAAAGCAACCCCAGTAAAAACCCAATAGGAGTTTTTACTATTTTATTAATTTTTAGGAGTAGAAATTTTATTTTAAAAATTATATAGAAATAAAAAGAATAGAGGATAGCCAAAAATTAGCACAAAATTTAAACAACTGGTAGTTACTGAGCATCTGTAATCCATTATGAGGAACATTCCCAGAATGCATCAGTCTCCTCTCACACTTCAGTGTTTGAGCAAGCAAGGTGTGCAGATAAATGTCTCTGAAGTAATTCAGGATGGTGAATAAGGAAAACATGGTCTGTGTTTGTGTTTAGGAAAAGCAGGAATCTGCAAGGACTGAAGCCTGTGTGGTGGGCAGATGTGTGGGACAGCTGGCTTTCCAAGCTTAGAAGAGCCTGGTTCATTGGAGAAGCCAAGACGCCAGGGCATTTAAGGTAAAGAGATAGAGAGAATCTGGAAGAAAAGAGGATTTTACTTTTGGGGACAGGGTTTAAACTGTCCAAGTTTCTGGGTGGGCTCAATGCACAGAGGGATGGAGGAGGAAGAAGGGGGGAGGGATAGGAAGATGGGGAGGAAGGAGGGCGGTGGAGGCGGTACTTTCCAAGAGGCTGAATCAGCTTATTAGCTGTGCTCATATGAACATACTTCTCTATCCAGCAGGGAAATGTCATTGCCTTTACCAGCTCACCTCTAAGTTCCTTCTTGTCCCCTCTGGACAGTGGAGGACGTAAACAATCACCTTCATCAACTATACCTCACCGCTGGGGAGGACAGATGATTGCCCCTTTGTTCACAACTCAGCAGATTCCAGTTTTCAGTGGAGGGGGCGGAGTGCTTTAATCTCTTTCCCTTCACTTTAGGATGCTCCTGCCAGGCCTGATGGGCTGCTCTCCAAGTGTAGAGACAGTAAACAGGGCTGACTGCTTCCAAGAAAACCAAGCCCAGCTCTAAGCGTGCCAGGATCACTTTGCCAGAGAAAGTCAGGCATGAGTGAGCGGACACATTTGGAGTGACCATGTATTTGTCCTCAGGGATACTGAGGTGAATGTGCTAACTGGGACTGGACGTAAGGCAGAATTTCTCTTTTGTATGTGCACATGTGTTCACACGCATATGGAGGCCAGTGGTCAACACTGGGTGCCTTTTCCCAATCATTCTCTATGTTATGTTTTGAGATAGAGTCTCTCACGGTGTCTGAAGCACAGATAGGTGCCCAAGAAGACCCAGGAATCTGCCTGTCTCCACCCCCTCAGTGCTGGAATTACAAGCACATGCCACCACTCAGCTTTTTATGTGGGTTCTGGGAATTGAACCCAAGTCCTATGCTTTCTGGGAGGCAAGAGTTCCCTCTTCCACACCCAACAGGGAGCTTTCTAAGAAGAGCATCATCACAAACTGGTTTGTTGCAGCTTTCTCAAGTCCTGCCTTTATTTTCCTGCACTCCCGATGGTTTTCCTTCCTCTCTCCCTTCCTTCCTGTTTCCTTTCTTTCTTTCCTTTTTTTCACTTTTTTTTAAAAGACAGGGTTTCTCTGTATTGTTTTGGAAGTTGTCGGTTCACCCTGGCCTAGAACTCACAGAGATCCACCTGCCTCTGCCTCCCGAGTGCTGGGATTAAAGGCGTGCACCACCACCGCCCGGCCTCTTTCTTTCCTTTTTAAAATCAGGGTCTTGATATATAGGTCTGACCTGGGACTCCTGAGTCTTAGACCTGGGATGACAGGCATGTGATGCCACACCCACCCTTTGTTCAAGACTGGATTTGGGGAACGATCATTTGCTGTTGGGCAGTTTAGTGGCCTCCGGAGAACTCCTGGATTAAGTCCAAATGGAATGTGGTTTCAGCAGGGCTTTTCTCTAGCCCTGTGTCTCTGATCTCTCCACATTTGCTTCAGGAATGCTGGCTTTCACTTTGATCTTCATTCTTCTCCCACATGACCTTCTCCCTCAGAGTTTTCCACCTTGTTCCTATGAGGAAGCTGGGTAGATGTTAGTAGGATTAAAAGTCTTTTGGGATGGGCCTCACCCTCAGGATCTGAACTTTTCTGTTATACAACGGGACGATTCAGCAAATGGCTCACCTTTGCCTTCTAAGCAACAGGCATTTTGCATTTCTCTTGTGATCCCTTTACAAACTGGCACCCATATCACACAGCAGGTTGAGGTTTGAACCAGGAGAATTCATCAGAAATGTTTCAGAATCCCAGAATTGGACAGCTAGAGTACACTTCACAGACAAGAGCAAGTGAAAAGCAAGATGGTTTGTGTCACCAATTCATCAGCATGTGTTTAGGAGGCACTGACACCCCTGAGGACTAGGAAGGAGAGGGAAAGTTCCCAGCCGCAGGAGATTCCCCTGCCTTGCAGCTACAGGGGTTGGTTAATGTCATAGATGAGCTATGCCAGAAGCATAGCATATGAATGCATTATCAATGGGTAAATTCTGACCTTGTGGAAAGACACAAACATGTCTTGTCCATGCTTCTGGCACAGTGTACTCATGACATTAATCAAGTCCTGTTGTTGGAAGGCAAGGAAATCTCCTGCCTTCGCACTGCTGGACATCTTGTTCTTCCTGTGACCCAGGCTCTGCCCTTCATTGGCTCATGAAGCTCTCCTATATTTCTGATGAATTGAGATGCTTACGTGTTCACATGAGCCCAGTCTACCTTGGTAAGTTTACGGGTGGTACCTTTCACTCTTAGGACTATGTTTTTTTCAGCCTGTGCTTTGTGGATGGTGATGGGCCGGTGAGGGTGTCTACATGGACAATGAGATGCTGTACTCAAAATGAAGCCAAGTGCTGCTTATAAGAGTCATCATAGCAAGGCACCACCTGAAAGCAATGATTTTACAGACAGTGACTCAGAGCACGGCACAGACTGATCTCAGCAGTTAGCCACAGACTCAGGTCCATAGCCTAGCCCACTGCCTTCCTTTCCTTGGATTCCAAAGGAAATTGGAATCATAAACTGATAACAAAAAATGAACTTACAGTTTGGCCAAAGTGGGGAAAGAAGTGACATAATTTTTTCTGCTCGCCATTAGTAAATGAATGCCTTAAAATTTCCAGAAAGCCTTGAGGCAAAGGTCAGAAGATGAACAGATTTGGCTGTGAGACAGTTTAATGAACACTTTTCTTGAGTGGTTGGGGGGACAGAAACCTCAGATTATCTTCATTGTTCTTCCTAAACATGGTGGGGGGGCACACATGTCTTTCTTTTATAGATTTGTTTTACTTTTAATTATGTGTATGTATGAATGAGTATGTGCCTCTGCATGCAATGCCCATGAAGGCCGTAAGAGGGCATCAGATTCCTGAGCACTGCAGTTGCAGATGGTTGTGAGCTGCAAGTGTTCTTAAACTCTGAGCCGTCCCTCCAGCCTCAAGTGTGAATGTCTTCTCAGTCCCACCATGCCTCCAGCTCCTCTCTCTCGGCAGGGATCATGGGTGTAATTTAGATTTGTGAAAGTGACAGAAACAATAATTCCAACAACATCTTTGCAAAAAAATTATTCATTGGGGATTAAAACACTTATATGTACGTATGTCAAGATGTCTTGAAACTCAAGAAGTGATTTTCAAGGTAAAGTCTGCTTGTCCCTGTGCCTGGACATCATTCAATTTCACCACTCTTCAAGGTCTGTCAACTGTTTTCACAGGTTTTCTGAAACAAACCGTTCCTTTTGCTAATTTGTACGGCCAACTGTATGTTCTTAAGCAGAGGAAAACATCAGACTGTTTTCACCCTGCCCCTTGAGTTGGTATCTTCTCTTTATGTTGGGGTTTTTGCTAAGCTTGACTAGAAATTCTTTAAAATGCATCCATTTATTTCCCTCAACCTTGTTTATTTTAGAACCCCCCTCTTGTGTACATTAGCGTGCATGTGGGCAGGTGTACATGTGCCATTGTGCACATGGAGGTCAGAGGACAGGGGCCAGTGTTGGTCTTTGCCTTCCACCCTGCTTGGGACATGGTCTCCTGGTCTTGTTCTTTTCCCCACTGTGTACACCAGCATAGCTGACCCTCAAGCTCTGGGTGGGGGGTGTTGTTAAAACGTTTAGGTTTAGCCAGTAAGGAGACACAGACCGCGACTCAATGATCCCATGTGGAGTTTATTGGTGGACGGGGAGGGAAAAGGGGAGGGGAGAGAGAGAGAGAGAGAGAGAGAGAGAGAGAGAGAGAGAGAGAGAGAGAGAGAGAGAGAGAGAGAGAGAGATAAGAGAGATAAGAGAGATAAGAGAGATAAGAGAGATAAGAGAGATAAGAGAGATAAGAGAGATAAGAGAGATAAGAGAGATTAGAGAGAGATAAGAGAGAGAGAGAGATAAGAGAGAGAGAGAGATAAGAGAGAGAGAGATAAGAGAGAGAGAGATAAGAGAGATAAGAGAGATAAGAGAGATAAGAGAGATAAGAGAGAAAGAGAGAGAGAGATAAGAGAGAGAGATAAGAGAGAGAGAGTAAGAGCAAGAGCAAAAGAGTAAGAGAGAGTAAGAGAGGAAGAGGAGTAAGAGAGAGTAAACGGGCAGGGGTCAGTCCCTTAAAGGGGTCCTTTGCACCTGCCTGGTTCTCACGGAACTCTGGGCTGGCCAGAGTGTTGCCTGAGCGCATCCTGCCAGGTAACAGGGCAGGCCAGAGTAATGCCTGAACCTTTCAGGGGGAGGTGTCTCTAATTTCCAGCTCCCACCAATCTGGAGAAGAGCAGGAATTAGAGATGTGTGTTAACCACATCCTGCTTTGCGTGGGTCCTGGGGCTCTGGGGTCCTCATGCGTGTCACAATGCCTTACCCACAATGCCTTACCCACCGAACCATCTCCCCAGCCCAGGGTTCTGGTCTTGTCATTCTTGATTGTTATTGTTAGATCTCAGAGCTTCTTCTGGCTGACATCTCTGTTTATTTAGCCATGTAGTTCCAGAACAATCTATTGATTTTACTGGTAACTTCTGCTTTTCTTCTCACCTTCTTGAAGGCTCTTCCGGAGGCTCCGTCTCTACCTCCTCTTTCCTAAGCTAAATGATCCACAGAGGTCTGCGCTTTGCTGTCTCCCTCTCCCTGTTGTCTGTCTGTTGTCTTATTTGATTAGGAGGTTGCTGACCTCTGCTGAACACCTGTGCTCTTCTGGACAGACATGCTTCCACCCCCTCATGTCCTGTTTGGCAAGTCTAAGTCCACCAGCATGTCCAAGACTGCGTTTCCTCCACTATTTTTTAGTTTTGTGTTTTGATTTGGGGTTTTCCTGTCGGTCAACTTGAAACACCTTTGTCAAGGTTTCCTTCTTGTTTGTCCCTCACCTTCGTTCCTGACCTTGCTCCATTGCTTGCCACATCGCCATGAATTCCTGCTGATTTGTCTCCTTCAGCACGTGTTTCCTTCCTAAATCACTGTAGAACCACTGCTGTCTCATCCTTAATCCTGTCTTCATTCAAGGCTGCTTCTATATACTTCTAGGGAAATATTCCTCAACAGAATTTTAATTTTTTCACTTATTCTTTGGCAGCCTTGCACACGTGTGTAGTGTGTCCTGGTGATGCTTACCCACTATCCTCCCACACACCAGCTCCTGCTGGACCTCTTCTCCCAACAACCACCCCTGCCCCCCACTTGTGCTTTTTTTTGTTTTTTGTTTTTGGTTTTTACGAGACAGGGTTTCTCTGTATTGTTTTGGAGGCTGTAGGTCCAGCCTGGCCTCGAACTCACAGAGATCCGCCTGCCTCTGCCTCCCGAGTGCTGGGATTAAAGGCGTGAGCCACCACCACCCGGCGTCCTACTTATGCTTTTACACCTTCTCTCGAAGAGGGCATCAGATCAGCTTCTGTTGTTTGGCTGCTTGGTTTTGAGTCAGGGTCTCAGCAAGTTGCCTGAGAAATCCATCTTCATCTTCATCTTGCTTCTGCTGTGTAAATCTACCACACCCAGCTCTTAACTATAAACTTTAAAACGTTTCCTTAGTGTCTTCCAAATATGAGGGCAGTTTTTGAAAAGTTTCCCCAGTGTCTACCAAATAAAGTCCAGCCTCCTTATCAGGGCTTTGGCTTTAATCTCATTTGCTGAGCAAATGTTTACAAAGTCCTTGTTATTTGACAGGTAAGAAAGACAGGGTAGAAAGATGGGGGAA